GCAGAGGATGGAAGCTTGTCCTGTCTATTACTGGTGATGTCCTTGATGGTCGTGGTTGTGGAGGTAGATACTTGGAATGAGGTATTGGAAAAGATGTTGGAAACATGTTTGGCAATGGAGTTGGTGGGGAGGACTATGTATCTCTTCTCGGCAGTGTCTTCTCTGGGTGTGTTGAAGATGTTTAAAGCCCGCCGTCTGCAGTCTCTGATGAAGTGATAAAGACAGTGGAGTTTAGAAAATACTTGTTCAATTATAGTGCATTCTTCCCCAAGGAACTCATTGCTGCAGATTCTGAGTGCTCGCAGGAAGAAGCCTATAATTACACCATGTTTAGTTTTGGTGTCGTGGTGAGAGTAGAAGTGGAGAAGATCGTTTTGGTTGGGGGGGGTTTTCCATAGACTTTAAAACGAAGTTCTTGGTCAACTTTGCAGAGAAGAACATCAAGGAAAGGAAGAGTGTTGTCGACTTCTTCTTCAAGTGTGAACTGGATAGAGGGCTCGACCTGGTTGAGCTTGTCTTGGAGAGCTTGAACGTTGAAGTGTCTGGGAGTTATGAGGAGAATGTCATCAACATAACATAGCCAGGTGACAGTCGAAGGAATAATGGTGGAGAAACGCTCGGCTTCCAGATGTTCCATGTGTAAGTTCGCCAGGACGGCACTGAGTGGCGAGCCCATGGGTAATCCAAAAGTCTGCTGAAAGAGGTGATTTTCGAAAGAGAAACGCGTAAAGCCGACACATAGTTCAACGAGGTCGATGAAATCGCTGGCTGGAATAGGAAGATCAAGTGAATCGTCAATTTTCCTGCGCAGGAGATCGATGGCTTGTGTAGTAGGTACTTTGGTGAATAGGGAAGTTACGTCAAGGCTGGAAAGTTTCTTGTTCCTGATGTTGATGTTGCGAATGTGATTGAGAAGGACTGACGACACAAGGAATGCTTGTGTACAACACTGCAATTCACACAACCATTTAATTAACTACAGAAACTCAAGACTTATTGCCAGAGAAGACAACACTCAATACCGAAGAATCCTGGAATCATCGCTTATCTCTATAACCAACAATTTCAACCAGAACAATGGCTTCTATAACATAGCTGAACCACTTGCCAAGAAACTTTTTCATCGATATCCCACATAAGAGCATAGAACACTGCAGAAGTTCTGCTCACAACTTATCCAATCTCCCTTCCAAGCTACCCAAGATTTTAAACTCTATAACCCCATTCGGTAGATCATCAGATGCAGCATTCTCCACCTGACCTCAACATTCTGAACCTGACTATAAATACTCAAGTACCTTCCACCCCAGGTAGATCTGTTTGTGACTTGAAAAAGCCCACTGTGTGGGCAAAACGTTGTCAATAAAGGATCACATTAAACTGCATATGTGTTTATATTTCCACTGTGTCGGTATTTTATACCATTTATATCCACATTTAACTACAGAGGTCAATTATCCATCCAACACCACAGTTGCTGTTTAGTTTGTCAATATATAATTATTTTATGTTAATTATATAATTATTATTAGTAGTATTACAGTATTATTGGTGATACATCAATAAATATATTATATAATAATTATTCTTATTGCTAGTGTTATTATGGCCAATATGTCAGTAAATATATTACACACGAATAATAATAATAACAATGTGTTATTATGGCTGATACATCAATATATAATTATTATTATTATTATCCGTGTTACTAAGGCTGATATGTCAATAAATAATTTCCACAACAGAGATACATGTTTTTTTTCTGTGTTATTAATATGGATATTTTGAGGTAAGCAATGATGTGTGGTGGTAATATCATGGAGAAGACTGACCTCAGAGTAACATAACTACAAGCTTGGAGATAAATGGTATAAAATACTGACATAATGGCAGAATGAATACAAATGCACTATAACATGATCCTTTTATTTACTTTTCTGGGTTATTCTAGGTAATCTACACATATGCAGCTATATTATGATAATTTATGTAACTGTATTTTATGTGTACCTGTACCTGAATAAACTTACTTATTTTTCGGCCACACAATGGGCTTTATCAAGGGTAAGGAATACGTGAGTATATATATATATAGTGTGAAGAGTCAGGTGGAGAATATCGGGAAGATTGAATCTGAGACTGACCTGCATGGCACAGGCAAGTGTGTGTTATATAGGACAACAATGAAGTTTCCTGGCAAGGGGTTCAGCTGAACTCTTTGCCAGGAAACTTCATTGTTATAGCTGAACCTTTTACCAGGAAACTTCATTGTTATGGCTGAACTTCTTACCAGGAAACTTCATTTTATGGCTGAACCCCTTGCCAGGAAACTTCATTGTTATAGCTGAACCCCTTCCCAGGAAACTTCACTGTTATAGCTGAACCCCTTCCCAGGAAACTTCATTGTTATAGCTGAACCCCTTCCCAGGAAACTTTCGTTATAGCTGAACCCCTTGCCAGGAAACTTCATTGTTATAGCTGAACCCCTTGCCAGGAAACTTCATTGTTATAGCTGAACCCCTTGCCAGGAAACTTCATTGTTATAACTGAACCCCTTCCCAGGAAACTTCATTGTTATAGCTGAACCCCTTCCCAGGAAACTTCATTGTTATAGCTGAACCCCTTCCCAGGAAACTTCATTGTTATAGCTGAACCCCTTCCCAGGAAACTTCATTGTTATAGCTGAACCCCTTCCCAGGAAACTTCATTGTTATAGCTGAACCCCTTCCCAGGAAACTTCATTGTTATAGCTGAACCCCTTCCCAGGAAACTTCATTGTTATAACTGAACCCCTTCCCAGGAAACTTCATTGTTATAGCTGAACCCCTTCCCAGGAAACTTCATTGTTATAGCTGAACCCCTTGCCAGGAAACTTCATTGTTATAGCTGAACCCCTTGCCAGGAAACTTCATTGTTATAACTGAACCCCTTCCCAGGAAACTTCATTGTTATAGCTGAACCCCTTCCCAGGAAACTTCATTGTTATGGCTGAACCTCTTACCAAGAAACTTCATTGTTATGGTCAATGCCCCCATGGCCCTGTCTGTGACCAGGCCTCATGGTGGATCAAGCCCTGATCAACCAGGCTATTACTGCTGACTGCACGCAACCCGACATACGAATCACAACCCGGCTGGTCAGGTACTGACTTTAGGTGCCTGCCCAGTGCCTTCTTGAAGACAGCCAGGGGTCTATTGGTAATCCCCCTTATGTAAGCTTGGAGGCAGATGAACAGTCTTGGGCCCCTCACACTTACTGTGTTGTCTCTTATCGTGCTAGTGGCACCCTTGCTTTTCATTGGGGGGATGTTGAATCGTCTGCCAAGACTTTTGCTTTCATAAGGAGTGATTTTCGTGTGCAAGTTTGGTACTAATCCCTCTAGGATTTTCCAAGTGTATATAATCATGTATCTCTCTCGCCTGAGTTCTAGGGAGTACAGGTTTAGAAACTTCAAACATTCCCAGTAATTAAGGTGGTTTATTGCTGTTGTATGTGCTGTGAAGGTTCTCTGTACATATTCTAGGTCAGCAATTTTGCCTGCCTTGAAAGGTGCTATTAGTGTGCAGCAATATTCCAGCCTAGATAGAACAAGTGACCTGAAGAGTTTTATCATGGGCTCGGCATCCCTAGTTTTGAAGGTTCTCATTATCCATCCTGTGATTTTTCTAGCAGATGCAACTGATACAATGTTATGGTCTTTGAAGGTGAGATCCTCTGACATTATCACTCCCAGGTCTTTGACATTAGTTTTTTGCTCTATTAGGTGGTAGGAATTTGTCTTATACTCTGATGAAGTTTTAATTTCCTCACGTTTTCCATGTTGGAGCAATTGAAATTTCTCATCATTGAACTACATACTGTTTTCTGCAGCCCATTTAAAGATTTGGTTGATGTCCACCTGGAGTCTTGCAGTGCCTTCAATGGAGGAGTGTCATGAAATCCGGGTGTCATCTGCAAAGGAAGACATGGCGCTGTGGCTTATATCTCTATCTATGTCTGATATGAGGATGATGAACAAGATGGGGGAAATACTGTGCCTTGTGGAACAGAGCTTTTTACTGTGTTCTATTTGTTAGGAAATTATAGATCCATCTACTGACTTTTCCTGTTATTCCTTTATCATGCACTTTGTGTGCTATTACACTATGGTCACACTTGTCAAAGGCTTTTGCAAAGTCTGTATATATTACATCCACGTTATGTTTGTCTTCTAGTACATCCAGGACCTTGTTGTAGTGATCCAGTAGTTGGTACAGACAGGAGCGACCTGCTCTAAACCCATGTTGCCCTGGGTTGTGCAACTGATGGGTATGTAGATGGGTGGTGATCTTGCTTCTTGGGACCCTTTCAAAGATTTTTATGATATGTGATGTTAGCGCTATCGGTCTGTAATTCTTTGCTATTGCTTTACTGCCTCTTTTGTGGAGTGGGGCTATGTCTTGTTTTTAGCAGCTGTGGGACGACCCCCGTGTCCATGCTCCTCTCCATAGGATGTTATAAGCACGTGATAGGGGCTTCTTGCAGTTTTTGATGAGCACAGAGTTCCATGAGTCTGGGCATACCATTTATCGCCTTTTCAAAGTCATCTTGCATCAGGATAATATCAGATAGGTGTGTGTCTACCAAATTCTGTGGCTCTCTCATAAAAAATTCATTTAGGTCTTCGACTCTCAGTCTGGTTAGCGGCTAACTAAAAGCTGAGTCATATCAGAACTTGAGTAGCTCACTCATTTCCTTGCTGTCATCTGTGTAGGACCCATCTCGTCTAAGTAGGGGCCTAGTAATGGATGTTGTTCTCGACTTTGATATGGCATAAGAAAAGAAATACTGTGGGTTTCTTTCAGTTTCATTTATGGCTTTTAGTTCTCGCATTTCTTGACTCCTGTGAGATTCCATAGCAGCATATGTGTAAATTACCTAGGATAACATAAAAATTAATAAAAGGATAGCATTATAGTACATTTATGTTATTTTTTTGTTAAGTATAAGTGTGTTACCTGAGGAATCATCAGACTCAGTGCCATCAGATGATATAGACTCGTCCAGTGAACTATGATCACTGTCAGAATCTTGGTCTCCATCTTCATTTTCACTCTCGTGGTCGTCCCTTTCATTGTCTGGCACTCTCTTCACACCTGGCATATCTCCTCCTAGGCCTACCAAGACTCACACTAATTCTTCTTAATTGTTCACTTATGCTAGGAGGCGCAGCCCATCAACTTGCTGCTGCTGTTGCTCACGCTCAATTCTGCCGGATATTCCATAAAAAAAAGTCACTCGTGTAGATCACTGCATTAAAAACTAAATAACTTGGTTGAAGTCATAATGTGGTTGAAGAAGAGAGTAATAAAGATAAATAATTGTCGTGTTGTGCTGGAACACTCGAGTCAGGCGCCTCTTATGTTTGTCAACAAACATTAACTAGTTTCTTGGTTCTTATTATTATTACATATTATATATTATTATATATTATATTATATTATATATTATATATTATATTATATATTATATATTATATATTATATATTATATATTATATATTATATATTATTATGTTTGTCAACAAACATTAACTAGTTTCTTGGTTCTTATTATTATTATATATTATATTATTATGTTTGTCAACAAACATTAACTATTTTCTTTCAAATTCAAATTCAAATTCAATTCAAATTCAAAGTTTATTCTCTATAAGGATTACAATGCTGAGTTTACAGAAATTTGGTTATTGTGTGGTTTATATGTAGTAAAATTGTGATTACAGAGTGTACCACTAGAACGCTTAGCATGGCTAGGCATTTCGGGCAGACTTAGTTTTATTCTTAATTGTAAAATATTACAAATTATGAGGTAAGTTGGTATTATGGCTAAGTGACTAAATACTAGTTTGTGAGTTTAGCAATGTGAATGCTTTTGTTTTGGCACAGTACATAGTTTCAGTATTGGAGTATCACAGGATTCATTATTTTAAGATTGAGATTAATATTTCTGTTTATGGTCAAATGAGTGAGTGAGTGTAAGTGTGAACCACCAGGTGGTATTCGTGTAGTTAGTTGATGGGGTGTATCAGGGAGATAAGATGTTTTCTAATGGTAGTTTTGAAGGTGATGAATGTGTCTGCAGTTGTAGAGTTCTCAGGTAGGGTATTCCAGATTTTAGGGCCTTTCACATACATTGAATTTTTGTAAAGGTTTAGTCGGACACGGGGAATGTCGTAGAGATGTTTGTGTCTGGTGTTATGCCTGTGGGTTCTGTCACAACTATCAAGAAAGCATTTTAGGTCAAGGTTGATATTAGAGTTTAAGGCCCTGTAGATGTAGATTGCACAGTAGTAAGTGTGGATGTACTGAACTGGGAGTAAGTTTAGGTCTATGAAGAGTGGGGGGGGGTGTTGCCAGGGATGGGATTTAGTGATTATTCTTACTGCAGCTTTTTGTTGGGTTATTATTGGCTTTAGGTGTGTTGCTGCAGTTGATCCCCAAGCACAAATAGCATAGGTGAGGTATGGATAAATAAGTGAGTGGTATAGTGTGAGAAGGGCATTTTGCGGCACGTAGTATCGTATCTTGGAGAGGATCCCAACCGTTTTGGATACTTTTTTGGTTATATGCTGGATATGGGTGCTGAAATTCAGGTTGTTGTCAAGGTATAAGCCTAGGAATTTGGCCCCATTATTTCTGGTAATTAGAGTGTTGTCAATCTTAATGTTAATTTGTGCATATCCTGCTCTGCTACCAAACATAAGAACATAAGAACATAAGAACGAAGGAACACTGCAGAAGGCCTACTGGCCCATGCGAGGCAGGTCCAAGTTCCTCCCCGGCCTAAGCCAATGCCCCCAAACCTAGTCAGGTCAGGTCACATTGACTTAAGGGGGGAACACGGCAACCGACCTGTTAGCACAAGCTATCAGGTCTAACTCACACCACCCACATCTATCTGTATTTATCCAACCTATTTTAAAGCTACACAACTTCTGGCCTCTATAACGGTACTTGGGAGTTTGTTCCACTCACCCAAACTCTATTACCAAACCAGTACTTTCCTTATCCCTCCTGAATCTGAATTTTTCCAACTTAAAACCATTGCTGCGAGTCCTGTCTGGGCTAGATATTTTCAGCACACTATTTACTCCCCTTTATTTATTCCTGTCTTCCACTTATAAACCTCAATCATATCCCCCTAATTCTACGTCTTTCTAGAGAGTGCAGTTTCGGGCCCTTAGTTATCCTCATAGGGAAGGTTTCTGATACATGGGATCATCTTTGTCATCCTCCCTTTTTACATTTCCAGAGAAATTTATATCCATTCTGTAATACGGTGACCAAAACTGTGCAGCATAATCTAAATGAGGCCCAACCAAGGATGTATAGAGTTGAAGAACAACCTGAGGACTCCTATTATTTATGCTTCTTTATATGAAGCAAGGATTCTATTAGCTTTATTGCGAACACTTATGCACTGTTGTCTTGGTTTCAGTTTACTGCTAACCAGAACTCCTAAATCTTTTTCGCAATCCGTAATATTAAGATCTACATTATTTAGTTTTTATGTGGCATGGTTATTGTCCTGTCCAACATTTAGAACTTTGCATTTGTCTATATTAACTGCATCTGCCACTTCTCCGACCACTGCATCAGTCTATTCAAATCTTCCTGGAGTGCTCGAATGTCCTCGTCAGAATGAATTCGACGGCCTATTTTGGTGTCATCGGCAAACTTGCCGATGTCGCTCTTTATGCCCTCATCTATGTCGTTTATGTAGATTGTGAACAGCAGGGGGCCCAACACTGACCCCTGTGGAACACCGCTCGTGACGCTTCCCCACTCTGATTTCTCCCCATTTATGCAAACTCTCTGCTGCCTATTTGTCAACCATGCCTCTATCCAGGAAAAAATTTCTCCTCCTATTCCATGTGCTTTATAGTGCTATATAGTGTTTAAGAATATCTTTGTGTATTAAGCCCTGTCTATATTGCTTTTCATAGTAGGTTTTGTCAGTGTTAAGCGTAAGCTTATTGGCTGTCATCCAAGTCGATATTTTAATCAGCTCCTCATTCACAATGGTTTTGAGGGTGGCAAGATTAGGGTGAGAGATGACATAAGTCGTGACATCAGCAAAGAGAATGGGTTTCAGGTGTTGGGATACGTTTGGAAGGTCATTGATGTATATGAGGAAGAGCAGGGGACCAAGGACACTTCCCTGCAGAACTCCAGTATCAAGTGGCCGTGTTGCTGATGCTGTGTCTTTAATGGTGACGTACTGATACCTATTAGTAATGTAAGATTTGAAATAAGCAAGCGCATGGCCTCTTATACCGTAATGATTAAGTTTGTGGAGTAGGATGTCGTGGTCTACTGTGTCAAAAGCTTTTCTTAGGTCAATAAAAATTCCTAGTGGATATTCCTTATTTTCCAATGCTGTGTAAAGCAGATCTAGCATTTTTATGATTGCATCATTAGTGCTTTTATTTTTCTGATCCAAATTGGCAGGGGTTGAGTGTGTTTTGAGCCGTTATAAATGAATACAGTCTCCTGTGCACGAGTTTCTCAAAGATTTTGGATAGCAAGGTATTTAGATATTGGCCTATAGTTGTTTTAGTCTGTAGGGTTACCCACATTATGTATTGGTGTATAACCCTGCTTCTTGAGTAGTTCGGGAAGGTGCGAGTTTCTAGTGATTGTTAAAAAGTAATGAAAGCATGCAAAAGGACATGGGCGCTCGCTTGTACAGTAATGGTGGGACATGAGACAGATTCCCGAGTTATTTTTTAGTGACTTTATAATCTCAGTGACTTCCGTGGGTCGTTGGTGCAAGATAGAAGGAATTAGGGGAAATTACCATATAGGTAGTCCCCTGGCATGGGCTTGGTATGTGGGATTTTTCTGGCGAGATTTAGATTCCTATGGTGAGAAGAAGTTCGTTTATCTTGTTAGCTGTGTCAGAGCCGATGTAGTGGTGTTTCATTAGGTTTAGTTAGGGGACAATATTCTTGGTTTTTCAAGTTTGTGGGTCCGTAGCATCTGAGAGGAGTGTTTTCCGGTCTTTTTTATATCTCCTCTAGTGGTCTGTGAATCTATGGAGTTGTATAGTTGTTTGGCTTTCTTTATTACTTTGGTGAGAGTGATGAAATAGTGTATAAGCATATTCTTTGTGTTATTAGCCTGTCTATATTTGCTTTTCTTATTGTGTTTCTTGTCACATGGTATTCAAGAATGGGGTGGTTAGCCATGGGACCAACCAAGGCCGTTTGTTTGTGATCTGTTTTTGTTTTTATAGGACAATGTTGTGTCAAGTCTAAGTAATTAGTTCAGAAAAATGTCTGTCCATCTTCATTACATGGCCTTGGAGAATTCAGTAGGCCAATCAACAGTCTCTAGGTCTGCTGTGAACTTCCTTACTGAGGCCCGTCATGGAGTCTAAATGAGACTTTGTTGTATTTCATGTGGTGGATTACTAATTGTTGTAGGAGGAAGGTATGGTAGTGGTCTGTAGTTGCATTGTGATTATCCCTGATTTAAGGGTGGTTAGTATATTGGTCCATATGTGGATATTATGGTTGCACTTGTCTCAGTGAGCCTGGTTGGTTTAGTTATTGTTGTATGAGAAGGTGTGTTGTTCATATTGTGATGAAATCAATTCAGGCTTGATCATCTAGTACGCCAAAGGTTGATGTTGAAGTTCTCCAGCTAGTATGAGAAGGTGGTGCTTATTCATTGTCTGTTTGTTATTAGTGGACATTAATTTCTCACTGGTTCTTATTATATATTATATATTATTTATCTGTTTGTCAACAGAAAATTAACTATTTTCTTGTTCTTATTTTTATCACTTTACTTAATTATATCCCTCTTATTTATTAACCCACTCAAACATATTATTGATTAATTATTTTTAATTTATGCAACAAAAGGAACAGGATGTATATAAATAAAACATTATCTGTACCTCCAATGTTTGTTTAAAATTTCTTCTGAATCATCTCCTCAAGGAAGGTCTTGATGCTGGTGAGGGGCTCTTGATCCAGGAACTGGGATCTGTGCTCCAGTTCCCTGAATGAACCTGATACATTCCATCCCCCCAACAGGGCGCTGTAAATCCTACGGGTTTAGCGCGTCCCAGTGTTTATATAAAATATTCATCTGCTTAAGCAAATGCCTGTTGTTGTTTTAGTGTGACATATTTAACAATATGTTAAAGTGAATACTTTTATCTTAAATATTTGTAAATTACGAGGATCTCATATCAAATCAATCTGTCATGTTTTCAGTAGAGTCCTTGTATTAACTATCAGATACAAAATAATCATATAGATCATAACAATAAGACAAATAAACTGAGTAAATCAGTTAAATGAAAATGAAATGCACGATGAGTATATATGAAAAAATTTGTTAAATCATTCCCGTAGCTTGTTGGCTAGCACA